AATGGTATTTCGGAAAAATTGCCCGAAATCTGTGATGGTACCCCTTTGGAATCTGCCAAAAATTGACCCGCAATAGCCTCAGGCCGAATCCATATTCTGTAGCCTTCAAAATCCAAAGAAAATGGCCTTTTGTCGACCAAAAAATTACGAAAATGCCATCTGAAAATAAATTGGCCCAAATCGTTGCTTAATGAACTTATTATCCGAGGAGAATATGATGAATAGATTTCATTATCGGTGGAGAATAGCCTCGACATGATTTCGTGATATGCAGCATCCAGAATCGAAAGAAAATGGCATTTCGGAAAACTCGCCCGAAATCTGTGATGGTACCCCTTTGGAATCAGCCAAAAATTACCCGCAATAAATCCGCCCAAATTGGTGCTTATTGGACTTAATCATCGTTGACGAATAGCCTCAGGCCGAATCCGTGATCTGTAGCCTTCAAAATCCATAGAAAATGGCCTTTCGCCGACAAAAAAAATTACAAAATGTCATCCGAAAATAAATTGGCCCAAATCGATACTTAATGAACTAATCATCCGTGGAGAATAGGATCAATAGACTTCATTAACGGTGGAGAATAGCCTCAGCCTGATTAAGTGATCTGTAGCCTCCAGAATCGAAAGAATATGGCATTTTGGAAAAATCGCTCGAAATCTTTGATGGTACCCCTTTGGAATCTGCCAAAAATTCACCCGGAATAAATCCGCCCCAATCGGTGCTTAATGGACTTAATCATCGTTCAAGAATAGACTCAGGCCGAATCCGTGATCTGTAGCCATCAAAATCCAAAGAAAATGGCCTTTTGTCGACCAAAAAATTACGAAATTCTATCCAAAAATAAATTGGGTCAAATCGGTGCTTAATGGACTTATCATCCGTGGAAAATAGGATCAGTAGACTTCATTATCGGTGGAGAATAGCCTCGGCTGATTTCGTGATCTGCAGCCTCCAGAATAGAAAGAAAATGGCATTTTGGAAAAATCGTTCGAAATCTGTGATGGTACCCCTTTGGAATCTGCCAAAAATTGACCCGGAAAAAATCCGCACCAATCGGTGCTTATTGGACTTAATCATCGTTCAAGAATAGACTCAGGCCGAATCCTTGATCTATAGCCATCAAAATCCAAAGAAATTGGCCTTTCGTCGCCCAAAAAATTACGAAAGGCCATCCAAAAATAAATTGGGCCAAATCGGTGCTTAATGGACTTATCATCCGTGGAGAATAGGATCAATAGAATTCATTATCGGTGGAGAATACCCTCGGCCTGATTCCGTGACCTGCAGCCTCCATAATTGAAAGAAAATGGCATTTTGGAAAAATCGCCCAAAATCTGTGATGGTACCCCTTCGAAATCTTCCAAAAATTGACCCGGAATAAATCCGCCCAAATCGGTGCTTAATGGACTTAAATATCGTTGAATTATAGCCTCCGGCCGAATTCGTGATCTGTAGCCTTCAAAATCCAAAGAAAATGTCCTTTTGTCGACAAAAAAATTACGAAAATGTCATCCCAAAACAAATTGGCCCAAATCGATGCTTAATGAACTTATCATCCGCGGAGAATAGGATCAATAGACTTCAATAACGGTGGAGAATAGCCTCGGCCTGATTTCGTGATCTACAGCTTCCTGAATCGAAAGAAAATTGAATTTCGGAAAAATTGCTTGAAAGCTGGGATGGTACCCCTTTGGAATCTGCCAAAAATTACACGGAATAAATCCGCCCAAATCGGTGCTTAATGGACTTAATCATCGTTGAAGAATAGCCTCACCCCGAATCCGTGATCTGTAGCCTTCAAAATCCAAAGAAAATGGCATTTTGTCGCCCAAAAAATTATGAAAATACCATCCGAAAATAAATTGACCCAAATCGATGCTTAATGAACTTATCATCCGTGGAGAATAGGATAAGTAGACTTCATTAACGGAGGAGAATAGCCTCGGCCTGATTCGTGATCTGTAGCCTCCAGATTCGAAAGAAAATGGCATTTAGGAAAAATCGTAAAGACTTCAACATCGAAATCTATAGACTTCAACATCGAAAGAAAATAGCATTTTGGGAAAATTGCCTGAAATCGGTGATGGTACCCCTTTGGAGTCCGACAAAAATAGACCCGTAAGAAATCCTCCCAAATCGGTGCTTAATTGAGTTAATCATTGTTGTAGAATAGCCTCAGGCCGAATTCGTGATCTGTAGCCTTCAAAATCCAAGAAGAATGACCTTTCAAAAATAATCGTCCAAAAAATTGCGAAAATGTAATCCGGAAATGAATTCGCCCAAATTGGTGCATAATGGACTTGATCTCAGAGGAGAATAGGATCAACAGACTTCATTATCATTGGAGAATAACCTCGAACAGAATCCGTGATCTGTAGCCTTCAAGATCGTAAGAAAATGGTATTTCGGGAAAATCGCTCGAAATCGATGATGGATGGACTTAATCATCATTGAAGAATAGTTTCAGGCCAAAACCGTGATCTGTTGCCTTCTAAATCCAAGGAAAATGACATTTAAAAAAAAAGCCCAAAAAATTACGAAAATGTCATCCGAAAACGAATTCACCCAAATTTGTGCTTAATAGACGTAATCATCGGTGGAGAATAGGATCAATAGACTTCATTATAGGTGGAGAATAACATCGAGCCGAATCTGTGATCTGTGTCTTCAAAATTGAAAGAAAACGGCATTTCGGGAAAATCGCCTGAAAGCGGTGATCCCTTTGGAGTCTGCCAAAAATGTACCCGGAAGAAATCCGCCCAAATTGCTGCTTAATGGACTTAATCATAGTTGAAGAATAGGCTCAGGCTGAAACCGTGATATATAGCCTTAAAAAACCAAGGAAAATTGTTTTTCAAAAAAAAAAATTCGCCCAAAAAATTATGAAAATGTCATCCGAAAATTAATTTGCCCAAATCGGTGCTTAATGGACTTGATCTTCGTAGGAGAATATGATCAATAAACTTCATTATCAGTGAAGAGTAGCCTCGGGCTGAATTCGTGATCTGTAGCCTTCAAAATAAAAATAAAAAATAACATTTCGGGAAAATCGTCCGAAATCGATGATGGTACCCCTCATCCCTACCATTCAACACTTACCTTGCTTGATTTACCCCTTGCAGAACTGTACAATGGAATAGCATCAATTTACACAACAAAGGAGACAAAATGCACCTAATATAAGTGTAAACCATTTGATATTTTGGTGGATTGATTCCAAAGAGGTAGCTAGCTGCTAGGGAGTGGTGTGGCTCATATGCTCCTCCCTCCAAGTTAATAGTCCAAAAGCAATTCCATAGTGCATCAACCAATCCCCCCCTTTTCTCCTCTTTTTCCATCCTTCCTTTACACATTTGAGTCTGCAATTATATATATACACATAACACACACTGCAAAATCTCCCTTGCTACAACCAAGCTCATCTCTCTCTCCCTCCACAATCTAACAAGTCACAACCACCATTTCCCCCATCTTCCACACACTTCAGTTCGATTCTATGACCTGCAATTCCCATCACGGCGGCGGCAGCCGCGGCTGAGCAAGAAAACAGAGTGAGTGACTGTGGGGGGAGAGAGAGTTTTGGTTGTGCAAAAGAACAAATGGGAGGCAGCAGTAGTAACAGTGCAGTAGGCAGAGCACTAATGTACAATTATGCTTCATCATCATCTGAGACCCAGCAGAATAATCTTTTCCGACAACAATCATCTCCATTGGCTTCCCCAAACGGCAATTTCAGTAATTCTAATGGCGCCGGCGGCATCCAAATCCCCAGATCTGATTATCACCACCACCACCACAATCACCATATGAATCCTTACCCAACTACATTCGTCCAGGCAAGTACCTCAACTTTCAAGCAAGTCGTCCAAATACTCACCGGATCCGCCGACACAGCCAAACAAGCCTCCTCTCCAAGACCTCAAGATCCTCCACCACCGCCGCAGGCGGTGAGGGGCAGCGCCAATTTCCCCATTCCTCCGATCAAAAGCATACCCAACAAGAAACAACAGCAGCAGCAGCTCTACGAGAGGAGGAGCAACAGCTTCAAGCACCGTAGTCTCATGATCAATACTCTGCTTCCGGCCGCCGGACGTTTCACCTTCCATTCAAATATCATCTCTTCTTCTTCCCCTTCCTCTGCCTCCGCCGCGGAGATCTTGTCGCCGAGCTTGCTGGATTTCCCCAAGCTGACGCTGAGCCCAGTGACTCCGTTGAATCAAGATCCGTTCTTCCACAACAATAACAATTCATCGTCGCCCTGCCCCTCGTCGGCGGGGAACTGCAGCAGTAGCAGCAGCTCGTCGTCGCCGTTGGAGGAGGAGGACCGGGCGATTGCGGAAAAGGGGTTTTATCTGCATCCCTCGCCGAGAGGATCCGAGCCTCAGCTGCTGACGCTGTTCCCTCTGACGTCGCCGAGGGCGGCGGAATCGCAGCCTCCGGAGCCCTGAAAATTTTCTTTACATCTGTGATTCTCTTGGATGGGTTATGCACTTATGATTGTGGTAATGGTTTGGATTTTGGAGGGAGAGATCTAAGTGATGATCTTTATTTGTTTGCTTGCCTCTTTCTAATTGTAGGATTGATTCATATGATATGATTATCATCATCTTCTCGTCTCTCCCCCTGTTTCTCATAATTTTTGTAAGAAACAATACAATCGCTACAGTACAGACACAAGACTAACAGACAAAATGATTGACTTTTCAGTCTGACTTTTGCCGCCCTTTTCCTGATCATTTATGGCTCAGTCTGCAATTAGCTTGCTAGACATGCAATTACAAGCTGGTTTCCACGATGAGAACAAAAGAACTTGAAGTCGTCCTCTACTCTCATTCTTCCTACATTCTTATCTAATAAGTTGAGGAGTGACAGTATGACCAACATTTGATTCTCAAAACAAACAACTAGAGATGACAATTTTGTCCTAATTGTGGGCACTCAACTCGTAACCATCATATCAAAGAAAAGAATTTCCACGCTCATTGGGTATGGAGAGGGTATGAGAGAATAGACGGAAAAAATATGATACGACAGGAGTGAGACGGAGATGGATTTAGCTACCTCTGTTTTGACACCGATATCGATATCCGCTTTCATTTTAACAATCTCACATCCAAACAGTAGACCGTAAGATACAGGGATTTATTTCGTTTGTACAAGTCAGTAGTCACCAGGTGCTAGTAGTGTTTTAGTGTTCAGATGATATAAAAAAAAAGTAACACAGGGCATTAGATGACACAGTGCAAACCAACAAGCACATTAGGGGATAAATGTCATATTTCCAGAAAAGAGTTGATGGTCTTGAACCCATGATTCTCAGGCAGAGGTGCGTTCCCTGGCCGAACAGAGATCATCGCCTTCAGACCTGATTGATCACATGGCAACATTGTGCATTTTGTCAGTCGGATTCAGCACTTCCGATCGTCTCAGGAAGAAAGAACATTTGCATGCAGAAAAGCTGTTAAGTCTGCTAGATTTCCTGAATGAGAAGTTATGCTAGGTTTCCTGAATGCACGTTATGCTAGCTTTTTTGAATGACAAGTTTGTCAGAAATAGACATTCAAGGTCCAATTGGCTAATCTCAAATTTAGTGACCATTTATGTACTAGTTGACTCCTAGTACGGTGAAGAAAGAAGACATGCTAAGGCCTGCAGATCGACTCTGTAAAAGAGGCTACTGTGTTTACCTGCTGCTTTCGCTGCAACTGCTTCTTGAACGACATCTGTCAAGAACAAGATTTCGGATGGGTTATCTACTCCCAATGATTCAGAAATCTGAATGTAACTGCTTGTCTCCCTCTTGTTCCTACAGAGTGAACAACAATAACAAGCGCAAGTTTGTTACTTGACTAAACTGAAAGGGAATCTACAAGGTGGTCATCCAGCAGCAGTGAAAATGTACAGAGCTTACCCAACATTAGTGTCGAAAAACCCAGACAAGTATTTTCTCAAATCTCCAGACTTTGTGTTCCCAAATATAAGCCGTTGCGCCAATCTGCTACCACTGGAATATATATAGACCTGAGACAGAAAACAAGGCAGTTACTTACTTGGGACATTATTCTGTACCTCAATTCAACTGTTAATATTGAGATTTACTTGGATTCAAACATGAGATCTCAGTCAATTAGGCTCTTATAGCATTAACAACTAGTTTATTCTAATAACTCGAGTTATTGAGAAATGTTCAAAATGAATATTATATGTCATGAAAACAACTTAATTGCTTGGTAGTACTAATGAAGGGATGCTGACCAAAGGGGAAATGAAAAAGTCACCTTTATGCCCAAGGAATGCCAGCTCTGCAGTGCTTCAGGTACATCATTGTAAAATTCTCCTTTCAGTTCATTGTTCTGAAAGCCAGTTCTCCATACGTGCCCCTGCATGAACAATGTCTCGGCCACCTTTAGAAGACATATTATTGATTTGAGTTCAGTGGAAGAGCTAATCTCTTGTCCACGAGAGAACATACTTGTAATTGTTTCAAGGCAGTGATCTTGCGATCTGCTCTTATCATTGCCTCAACATTAGCAACCAGTGCTGCAATCACCGCATCCTTTCCAGCATCATTTGGTGGAATGGACACAGCGCCATCAATACCTTGCGCCAAGTCATCTTCAACCTGTTAAGAAGCAACAAAGAACTAAATTAAAGGACAAAAATGCCCTACAAAGAGTCATTTTTCAAATTCCAAGACCAAAACAACACGCAAAATTTTCCAAGTGACCCTTTGCAAGAGATGGAAACATAAGCAACATGCATGTATAAGTAAACCAAAGACACTTCATAAAATTACCTGGGATCGCAACAACTTTATATCTTCTTGAGTATCTTCGGTGTCATATGTTGCGGACAGATGCTTTCCCACATTGTCACGTGCATAAGGAAAAAGGACATCAGCTACAAACGTTATAGGTGTGGTAGTCCCTTCAATGTCCAGGAGGATGCAGCGCTGGAAAAATTTAGTTATAGATCTTCAAAGAGCTACCAGAGTAATGATGTCCAAGAAAGTTTTAATTTACTCATTTCCCAGATCAAGACATATACACCATATCAACGTATATATTTGAACTAACAGTATCATGCACAAGAGAGCTTACAGGCAAAGGCTCACTATTGTGATTTGAATCCTTCAGTCCTGCCTTCACTGGTGCACTTATAGCTCCTCTGCCCTGCTGGATCGGGCCATGGCTTGGGGTAGACCAGTCCAGGCCCATTTGATGAAGTTTGATTGCAGCATCGAACAGATAATGATAACATTCAGCCTGCAATAGTTTTCCCAGTCATAAGAGAATAAACGAATGAGCTTGGGAACACAATAAAGTACCGCACTCCTAAACATAACTGTTATCCATCTTCTGACTGTTAACTCATGCGAATATTAGAAGTGCAACATATTATACAGCCAGTATTAGTATGAACAAGAGAAGAAATTAAGCAATAGAATTATAGGAGGTAGGAACAACACACCATGTAGAAGGTCTTCCATAAAATAACACTCGTCTGATTTGTCGAAAATGTCAAGTTATACAGTGTGTTAGACAAACCTGAGTTTTGGCGCTAATCCATGTGTCCCCCCATACATATATTCCATGGTTTCGAACTAGAACAGCCGTTGTCTTTGGGTATGCTTCTATCTAACAGAAGAGAGCATGCTGTTAGCCCAAGGATACAACTACAAGATGCCATAAAACTAGCAATTCAAAACAAAATCATCAGAAAGAATACATTAGCTCTGATTATCTGATATATAACAGTTATCCTACACTAAATCAATGTTCATACAAGAACTCGAATTATGCCAGTTATAGTAACAGTAAGCATTCCACACACTAGTGAGAGACCATAGAAAATGAACTTAATCTAAATAGCATAGAGTGAGAGGTCGAAGCCAAGGATAACACAAACAACCAAAGACACGAAGATTGAGAAGATCAGGAGAAGTATGAAACAAGGTAGTGAAAGGGGAGGAATTCTGAAGAAGAGGAGTAGGAGTACGATTAATGAGATAACAGGCCGTATCGAAAGCAAGAGACCAATATTTGAGCGGAACATGAGCATGATGTAACATAGCAAGCCCATTATTAACAATGTGACGATGCTTCCGTTCGGCACAACCATTCTGTTCGGGGGTATAGGGGCAGGAGGAACGGTGAACAATACCATTATTGGAAAGATAAGAAGTCAATGCTTGATATTCACCACCCCAATCAGACTGGAAAATTTTAATAGGAAGACCGAAAAAATTTTCAACCATTTGCCGAAATTGGATAAACACACTGAGAAGTTGAGATTTATAGCGCACAAAATACACCCAGCTGAATTTACTGTAATGATCATAGAATAATATATAATAGGATTGATGATCAAAAGAAAGAAGAGGGGCAGGACCCCAAAGATCACTACAAATCAGTTCCAAGGGCGCAGAGGCACGAAATTGAGACGAAGGAAAAGGAAGTTTGTGAATTTTGCTAACAGAACAGCCATGACAAAGAGAAGCAGAAGTATCATGATAATTTATTGAATTGGAAGACAAAAGATGCTTAACAGCGCGAAGATTCGCATGACCCAAACGTTGATGCCACAAATCAAGGGAGGCAGTGAAAGCTCGAGGAGCGGCGCGACTTTGAATATGCAGAGGTAGAGAATATAGACCATCAGCCGCGGATCCCCGATATAGTTCAGCCTTCGTGTGGCGATCCTTAATGACAAAATAGGAATCAAAGAATTCAATCGAAATGGGATTAGTGCGAGTCAACGAGCTAACAGAAAGAAGATTATGAGGAGCATGTTGAACACGAAGAATATTATTGAGGGAATAAGAAGCATTGGAAAGAATGGCGTGAGAAGAGCCAGAATGAGAAATGGGAAGTTGTTTACCATTGCCAAAGGTAACGTGATCGGTGCCAGTGTACTCAGAGTGATGAACCAGATTATCGAGATCAGAGGTCAAGTGGTGGTTAGCCCCGGAGTCGAGAAGCCATTGTTGGGAATGAAAAGCAGGTTGAGGGGATTGGGCTAAGTGAGCAGATGGGCCAGATGGGTAATTGGGCTGGGGCTGGTAAAATGGGCTTGGACAATGGGGCCTGGTATGGCCCCTTCCCCCACAATTATGACACACAAGTGGACTGCCAGATGGGCCAAGAGGCCCAGCCCCTAATACTCCAGCTGCAGCGGGCCGCGGACCAGCAGTCATGGGCCTGGGACCTGCAAAATAAGAGGGGTTAAAATTGCCACGGCCCATCGCTTGAAACCCTCGGCCACGAGAGCGCCCCCCACGGTGGCGATGAAAACCGCCAGTTCCACGGCCACGGCCACCAAAATACGCCTGGGGAGACGCGCCACCACCAGAAGCCGACTGAAAGCGGCGGAGCTGCAACTCCTCGCTGAGCAAAAGGCTACTGAGATCAGCAAAGGAGATCGGCTCAAGACGAGCTTCGAGATTCCGAGTAAATGGACGATAGTCCTCATCCAAACCATCAATCACGGAGGTGACCAGCTCTGCCTCCTTAATCGGATCACCAAGCGCCACCATCTTGTCGAAAGTGGTTTTGGCACGGAGAAGATAGTCATGCACCGAGTCCGTCCCACGGCGAAGGTGGTGAAGATCACGACGGAGTTGGCCGACAATGACTGGGGAACCAGCAGCATAGACAGCGGCGAGCGTGTCCCAGGCCTCCTTGGCAGTATGCTTATTGACGATATGAGGCATAACAGCTTCCGTCAAAGAAAGATTGATCCAGATCAGAATCAATTGATCACGCTCATACCACTCTTGAAAGGCAGGATTCGGCTGATCATCCACTGTTTGGGGCGGCGCAGGAAGCGTGCCGTCGATGTGACCGTCGAGACGGTAACAACGAAGAAGCGGTTGAAGCTGTGCCCTCCATAGGAAATAATTCGTCGGGGACAGCTTCACCGTCAATTGGGGGTTGGACGGCAAGGAGATGGAGAATGAAGAAGAAGAAGAAGAGGCAGCCAGAGAAGAGGAAGAAGAAGAAATGGTTGACATGATGCGGTGGCAGGGGAGAATAGAACAGAAAAGTGGGAGAAGGGAATCAGAAAAATCGGCACAGCACTCGTTGGAGTCTACTGAGCTCTGATACCATGTAAGTGAATCTGGAAAGCTGAGTTTTTACATTACTGAACAATGGATTTATACAAATACAGCAGTAACTGAAATAGCAAAACCTACGCAGAGGTTGCTACAAAGAAGGAAACACTCAAACGGTAACATAGTGGAGAACTATTCTGTTCCACATATCACTCTCTCTTATCAAGAGTCACCCATAAAATAGCACACCACTTCAACAGGAAATGACAAGCTTCTGCACATTATACCAGTCATTCAATGACCGACTATAATGTTGATGTAGGGTCAGCTAGTTTGATGGATAAATATTACGAATTACGATGTGCATACTAGAATCATGTTGCATAGAGCAAAATATTTAATTGGTAAGGGCAAAGTGGAGTAACAGAATTGCAGAAAACAGATATTTACAGCTTTAGTAAGAGATTCTGTCAGCTCATTCTCATAGGCTGTATTCTCTATTATTGGTACAACAAGTTCATCATAATATCCATGACCCTTTATCCCTTTTATCATCTCCATGTGAGTAATCTGTAAGCAAACAAAATGCAGAGTAACGTCATCTGAATACAAAATGTGTTAATGCTGAATCTGATCCGAGAAATATTCCATTAAAGTTTGTGCTCGTACGATTGCAAAAATACACTTCAAAATAATTTAACTCTAACTGACATGTTATTCCATATATCTCCCAAAATAACCATCATAGGAAGGTCATAGCTATTGCCAAACTCTTTGGTTCCTCAGCTGCAAGAAAAGTGAGCTATTTTTCTAACTTGAGGCAGAGAATAGTTTTGAAGGGAAGATCTCCTCTCAAGAACTAGATTAGTGTCAGTTATTCTTATACCTGTTTTTTATGCTACATTCATCACATATTTCATTGCCCTTATTCCCCATCGTTCACCTAAAATACCTGATTTTGAATGTTGTTTAAGGTGCACAGAGCTCAGGCACACATAAAACCACTGCCAGATAGAAGGCATCAATATTTATTTACTATAACAGTACAATACACGGGAATGCAGACAGAAAGCTGAGAGCTTTACCAACCATCATACTTAGCTCACTAAACGTTTCAGTTTAATGTAATATGATTATGACAGTCCACTACCAGAATGTTGTAACTGTTCAGAGAGAATAAATTGTGTGTTCTTCTGTAGATCCTCAATCTAAAGGCATGAGGTTGAGATTCTAACATGCTTCACAATTTATGTTCCTTCCCACTGCATGGTAATAATAAAATCCACTACAGGCTGGCAAGCCAGAGGATGGCAATTCATAAGGACATTAGTAGCTGATTATCATGCAATAACGGTCTTTTTCACCCCTTCTGTATTTCATGCCCACAAAGCACTTCACAGATGGGAGAGTGGCTAGTTTGGTTGGAAAAGCATAATGGAAACAATTAAATTGGTAAGACTCAATATCAAAATGGAAACACTTACCCTGAATTCTTTTGCTGATGGATTGAGCATTGTCACGAGGCAAGACTCCATCCCGTGACTGTGAATGACTCCTCCTGCATCACGCATCTCATATGCCTGCATCTCACTAGAAAGAATCATCAAGCACCAACCCACAAGTAGCAAGATGGTACCCCAACTCAAACAGGAACCCGATCAACTAACTGGTCTATACTAGAGCAAGTAACTCCATCATCAATGCCAAGACCAAATGTACAATTATTTGGTAAGTTTTCGATGCAGAAGAAGAAATCTTCCCGACCTTCATAAATAGAGGAGCACAATCAGAGCACTTAGGAGGCTTGTGAGGGTAGGGCTTCGGAGACGGTGCATACAGTATAGACCCATTTCCTGACATGACATACATATCATCTGCTTCCATTCTCTCCTTCTGAACACCTGCCAAACCACAATCCTAAAATCATTTGACATACGATCAAAAGCTAGTGCGATAGTAATGCGAATGTCTCAAAAACCCACTAATCCAAACTGGGAATCAGAGTATCCCATAGCAGTTTATCAATCCAAAGTCGCCCTGAAGGTCCAAATTGTGCCCGACTAACAGTTGGTTATCAAAGAGCATAAATGAATATCTATTACCCACACAGTAAAAACTAAGCCCAGATAACACAATCCCTAATAACATCGAATTCATATCCGTTGCCACAACAGTTAAAATGAGGCATTACAGTGGAAAATCCAAAGATTCAAGAACAGAGGAAAGCAAACTAAATTAAGCTGTAGACCAGGATTTTGCACCAGAAGGGGACATGAGGATGAGCTGCTGTGGTTTGGGGATGCAATCATCGTGGACCTTGATGGTGATGCTGCCGCCGGTGCCGGAAACCCAGCCGAGGCTGTAGAATTGACGGCAGAGATCAGCGACCAACGCCCTCGTTTCCTTGACCGCTTTCCCCTCCATGTAAGCCTGCGAAGCCAAGCTCACCCCGCCTCCATTCACCGCCGCCATAGCTCGATTCTCCCCCTTTGCAACCCCACAGAGAGATACGGCGTTTGTGGCACGCAGATATAGACTGAGTCAGTGGCGTGAGGCTGGAAGGCTGCGGCGACGTTGGTTTCTGTCTGTTTAGAGTTGGTGACTGAAACTTTATGAAGAATGTGATTGGTCCACGTGGTTTCCTTGCTTTGACTGTATCTGACTGTTGTGGATCAAAGCCCATGAAGGAAACTATTGGGTTTGTACAAAAGCCCACGTAAAAAAGAAACACGAGCTGAATCTAAAGCCCACAAGTTCAAACCGACCGGATTGAACTGGCCGGACCGGATTTGCGTGCCGGGCGGTAATATAAAGGCGCCTGTTCTTTCTCTTCTCGGCTCCGTCTTATCTTTAGCCGGAGCAATGTCCCGAGGGCCGGGCCGTCTGATAGATAACGTGAAGAAGTTAGCCGACACGCAGTACAAGGAATTCACAGCTCGGTATGGCGACCAATTGGTGGACATTTTCGAGTTCCCCATTAAGCTCGTGCTGTCCCCTTTCACCCTCGCCTTTGACATCGTTGGGTCCGCTCCTCGTGGGTTCGGCGTCCCTGAACTCATCTCCAAGCTCTCTTATGCTTCCGTCTTCGTAAGTTATCCATTTCCCCTGACTGGAAATTCTGCAGGATTCTTTTCGCCTACTGTAAATTCGGTTTAGCTGGAAATGGGTTTTACAGTAAATGATTCAGCTTTCTTTGGGTTGCTCGAAAGTCGTGTGCTTTGGAGACTCTTTTTTTTATATGCCAAAGAACTGGAAACCTTGTGCATAAGTTCGCAGGAAGTAGATATTCTACTGGTTTTACAACATTAATGTGGTGATGCTTTTATCTAGATTATGATGGCCGTTTCCTCTTCTTCATCAAACTGAAAGTGGGGATTTTCTATTGGAGTTGTAGAATGGACAATTTAGTAGCCGATTTAATGTTTCTTCCTGTTCTGTGAAGTTGCATTTCAGCAGGTTCTGTTTTTTCTTCATTGAGGTTATTGTTGTCGTCTGCATTTGCATCACAACTACTCAGGTAGTTTGATGCATTTCCTATGTCTAGGATTGGGGTCTGCTCCTAATGCTGGTATGTTAAGTCTATGCAGAGTGTCTTGAACATTTACATTTTTATCTTGGCAAGCAATGAATTAGATGGAATTGAAGTCCTTTGCGGGTTCTTGATCATTTGACCAAGTCACCACACATACTTGTAGTTTCCACACATGTTAAGTCTATGCAGTGTGTCTTGAACATTTACATTTTTATCTTCGGAAGCTGCTGAATGGCCTATGAGGCGGGGCTTCAATGACAAACTAGTCTCACTTTATCTTGATTGCAGGCTGTGGCTACACTTGGAACCTATGATATTGCTTTGGAGTTGGGAAAGAAGGTTATATGTCAGAGGTGCTGATTCTTGATTTCAGCCTGCTGTTTGCTGTCACCTGTTCTGGTGGATTATAAATTTGTTCCCCTAATCTATTGGTAGAAATGAATGGACTATGAAATCATGAATCCAGGAACTGTCGAACTTGCAATGGTTGGCAGGCATTGCGATGTACCATGTGTAGAGGATCAGGAAGCGTGCATTACCAAGTGAAAAATTACTCCTTGAGAAGGTATATACTTCTGCTGAGCTGACCCAAATAAAGATAAGATGCTCTCTCAGATACAAAATATGGCGGCTGCAAAGCCTCATAAAGAATGAAATCAGACTGAGAATGTGTCTTTGACATTGGAATTTTTCTAAATCTGTTCTTCTGGACTTTGATCATGTTATGTACATGTTTGTTGTATTTTCTGCAGAGGGGAGAAGCCCACTGCTGAATGTATTGCAGATGCAATTTCTGAAAATCGTGCTGAAGTAATGCATTTTCCAGCTGCCATAAATTCAAATATGCCTTTGCCATCTAAAGACTGTCCAGACTGTGATGGCACGGTGAGACTCATCTTTACCTTCACCGACTGTAATGGTACTTTTCGTTTGCTGATTTTGATATGTTCAATGTGTTGACCATTTTGTATTTCACCATATTAATAATTTTGTATATCATTAGCAGTTTCATATGGATTTTCCAGTTTACTTAGATTAGTGATGCTGGGCTTTGGTATCTTTGCAGACCTTTTTTTATGTCTGTTGATGTGTCGGTTGTAACTGTTGTATTACTGATTCTCCAGGGTGTAATGGGGTGTCCTGAATGCAAAGATAAATTACAAGTCAGGATCTCTGCGGATGATGTGAGAACTTGTTAGATTGCTTGTTCTTTACGTATCTCTTTGGTTTATCTACACATTGGGGGGAAAGAGCCCCTTAATGATGGTTCTGATATTTGTTCCGCAGATTATGGAGCCACCATGGAAAGCATATAATGTTCTGCGCAAGATGGACTATCCTTATGAGGCTAGTACAGATTTCTAGTCCTGGATCAATATGTTATTATGTTAAAAGCTGTTATAAATTTGAACTTTTCCGGCTGTTATATTCAATAATTCACCCTTTGGTTCACTGAAAGGATGGTTGACTTAGTACTTGTGCTCGTGGGGAATCCCTCCATCCCCTTGTTTGGTGCTCACATATAATTACAACAAATAGTATTTAAGACCACTTGGCACTATATAATTGGTCTTCTAACACCTGAGTTTTGCTCATTTTGGTTTCAGCATATCCGTGACAGCATGAAAGATCCTAGCATTGCTGCATTTTGGTTGTTTACCTTCCCCCAGGTTGTGGGTGGGTTGAATTATGATGATGACATCAAAAAGAAAATTTGGTGGCAGTACGAGGTTAAAGACCTCTCTCTCTCTCTCTCTCTCTAAGCTATTTAGTATGTTTGCTACAGAGTTACTGCACTTAATTTCCAAAAGTATGATATCGACCTTGTGAGTTTATCACCCTTGGCTGCAGGAATCATTTCGGTATGATAAACTACGCGATATCGTGGCTAAGCGAGCTCCTGGCTGGGAATTATTACAGGAAGTAAGATGTTGCTAGTGCACATTTATCTTTGCCTCGTTTTTGACATTTAAGTTTGATGCTTCTATATTTCGTTTCACCTTTTTCTAAAATGTCGGTAAGGCTAGAATTGGCGTAGAGGTGATTTGCTTGCACTCTATGGAATTCGTATATGGTTTATTATGTTCCCCAAGTTTCTCCCTTTTCCTCATTACCTATCATTCACAGGCCTTGACCACGATCGACCCTATTCGAGCCCGGGAAGATCCAGTTATTGTGAAAAATCTTCCACACTACAGGGCCAAGAAGGCATTGGAGGCTGAGGTCATGAAACTTGATCCACCACCACGGCCAGAAAAGTGGGGAGTGAGTTACTTGTGGCCTTCTTCTCCCTCTTCCCAACAAAGATGTACTCTAATTGGGATTGCGTTATTAATCTTGCAGCAACCGGTATTGTTGTCACTCATTAAGTCGCTTTGCTTTTATTTTTAATAATGGAACTACGATTTGTGTATCATCAGGAGCTTGACCTGCCACTGAATTCATCATCCTGGACCGAGGAAGATCTTAAAAAGCCAGAAAAGTTCTATGAGATGACTGTTCTCCTTAATGCACAAAGAGAAATGGCTGATAAAATGTTGGATGCACAATGGGAAGCGAAATGGCGACAGGAAAAGGTCGGTAAAGCTTTCATCATTGACATAGAGCCTAAACGGCCCAGTTTAGAGAGAGAGAGAGAGAGAGAGAACCAACCTCCCAAACCGCTCTTAATCTTTGACTTCTCGTTTAGATGTTGTTTCCCCCATATTAGTATTGAAATTCTCTATGCCAGCTACGTTTGCTCTTTGCTTGATATGTAGATAGGGAAATGAATACTCTCTACCACCATATCTGTTGCAGTTGAACCAAATGCTGGAGGAGAAGGTGCAGCCGTACCTCAAGGACGCTGACAATGGCATCCTCTCGCAACCAATTGTTGTACAACCACAAAAACAGCATATAGAGGTCTCACCTTCAGTTTTCTACTTTCATTATGCAAAAATTGCATCCACTTAGAAAGTTGCCCGGTATCATGTGTGATCCGGAATCAAATTATCATCCCTGAAAATTCACCATAACGTTTGGTTCTTTGGCTGCAGAGGAAGAGGCGAAAGAGATGGTGGATTTTCTGAAGTCGGCATCTCATTCGTACGTAAGTGGTGTCATCATAGAGCCAATGACGTGAGAAACGAGACGCAGTATCCTCTTCTTCCTGTCTCTGCGTATCAGGCTCTGGCAGCTTTTGATAAATACGTAGAGATAACGCTCCTGCAGCATGCAAAGTCGATGGTCGACTAGTTACTCTGATGTATATGGAAAGAGAACACCATTGATCTTTGCATCGAGCAAGCTGCGTGTAAAAACCAAACGCCAGTCCCATCTCCTTCTCGAGTTGTATGTTCTGTTCGATTTCAGAACAAGTTTGTTTTACGAGGAATATTGATGCTAGCGCATATGTCTAAGGTTGTTCTGATCTTTATCAAGATGGCTACAGCTCGGTCGAACACAGGATAATTAGCTATACACTCGTGGATTTGCATGCTATATATGAAACACTGTTTAATTATCTAGTATTATTGCTATGATGAAATAAGATTGGATATGACTGTAAAGATCTGACAACATCGATCTGGCTTGGTCGTGGTAGCTTTTCTCCTTTCTCTCTTTTGCCAAGCTTAGTAGGGAAAGGAAATCATCATCATGATACAGATATGGAACTTCAAAAAGCGAACCAGCTTTATCATCATCGAAATGCATTACACATGTATATAGAATAATTAAGGAGGTTTGCTGCAGCTACAAAAGTGATGAGAAAGCTAGCTTTTTTATGCAATGATGCAGCCAAGCTGCAGCTGCAAAGTGCTGATCAGAAAGCGAGCTAAACCAGAGAGGCGCCATGGTTACGTTGGAGAGATGATTAAAGGTTGGGTTCGGATTTTGAAATTGGAGCTGGGCTAAACTTGCTCTACATACATAATTACGAACGCATATAACGGTAACTTTCTGCAGGCAGTATAGGCTCCTCCAACTCTGTATAATGATGATTACAACTACGCTGTCTAATAACCTTCGGATAGTAGTGGCGGAGTCAAAAACCTCGAAGCTACCTTTGAATCGTGATAATTGGGGAGGGGCTAAGACCTTAACAACTAGTCTATTTTCTGAATTTGTACAAATTTTTACATGTAAAGTTACCTGTATTTCAAAATTGAAGAGTATTATTGCCCCTCCTGAATATAACCTAGCTTCGCCATTGCCTTTGGTTTATGACACACTACTATATATTGCATGTTTTCCGGGCCGACACAAATATACTTATGAGCATAATAAAATCTCTATCCGGATATGTTTATCTCAAGCACCGCCATGAGCTTGGATGCTTTTTTTTTTCTTTTGCTAATAGAAAATCGTATACGCAAAAAGTAAACGATAGTTACAGTAGGTTCAAATTTGACCCTCTATAATCCTACCAAAATTTTCAACCTACCATAAAAAGAACTCCTAATTTGGAGAGATTTTGCATATGATACACTTTTGCTTTTTTACATATATTACCCCACTAAATGGAAATCAATGCAATATAAGTAGCTAGAGAGAATACTTTTCCTCAATCATTCACATAAAACGGAAATGGGAAAAAGTAGAAGATTTGAAACTCTCCCACTCTGCTAAAATATTTGCTCTCCAAGCATCATTGCATTGCAAAGGAACAATGGCAGCCTTTGACAACGCATCACCGCGCATATATAGTATTGATTTTAGGTCAAACGTCATTATTTTGATTATCCAATTTAGTTCTAAGATAATTCGTACAACTTGAAGTTGTATCACAATATTGAAAGTACAAATTGGAGTTATATTATAAGGAGATTTAAACAAGCAGTGTTGTAGTCAGATTTTGGATGGATAGAATTCTTTAAAAATTTCGAATTGATTAGAGTCCTTACATGAGATGGTATCGGCGAAAGTATGAGGTCCTATATTTCAAGAATCATACTAAAACACATATATTTAAAGGATTTTAGTACCCTATTTTTTGCTAAGCGGGGTCCTAGGACCCCTCACCTCAAGCTCTCCCTCCGCCACTCTATACAAGAGAGTATATGTACAACCTGAAGTTATACCATAACGTAAATGGTACAACTCCAAGTTATACAACACAAAAAAAACTAAACACCAACACTTTAAAGTATTGTAAAATTCTTCAAAATTGATTATTAGTAACAAAAAGGTGTAATTATACCCAAAATTAAAGGTTTATGAACCCTAATTATTAGTACCAACTCTTCTCTCTCTCCATATCACTAAATTTGCTAAGCTCATTAACTCTCCCTTTCACCAAACCATTAAACTCACCTTCACCAAATCTCCTTTCTTTATCTTTCTTCCCTCCAATCCTCTTATATATATCCCAACAATTCTTCTACTCAACCTTCCATTCCAATCCCACTTCTTCTTCCCCAACACACTAAACAAACAAAGAAAGTAGAAGAATCATGGCTTCTTCAAGTCATAGTACCTCTCTCTTCTTCTTCTTCGCCTGCACGGTGGCAGCTTCCTTCTGCTTCCACTCCTCCATGGCCAGAAGCTTCGACGTAGGAGGTAAAGAGGGTTGGGTCGTCAAGCCTTCCGAGTCCTACGACCACTGGGCTCAGCGTCTCCGCTTCTTAGTCAACGACACCCTCGGTAATCAATCACTCCATTTTTTTATCACTGTTAGGAGGTAAAAATTTCATGTTTGGTCATTACAAAAATTCGAAACTAGGATATCATACACCCTCCGAAAGTTATAATCGACACATCTCTGCAAGCAGCGAAATGATTTTTTTTTTTCCCTACGAACTTGATAAGAAAGTGAAATTCGAAATCATGTAAGTAACCAATTATCAATGATAGTGAGGTTGTATGCATGGTATTCAGATTTGTTGCTCGTGTATTATATGAATCAAATATTTATTTTATATTTTATTTTTATCAATCGAACTCACACACCTCTCCAAAAATTCTGGGTCTGCGCCGCGACTACTTCTCGGGGCAGTGTTCAAGTACAAGAAAGGATCGGACTCAGTGGCGCAGGTGACGAAAGGGGATTACGACAGCTGTGACGCCAGCAAGAAGCTCAAGGTGATGAAATCGGGGACCTCAATCTTCAAGCTCACGCAATCGGGACACTTCTACTTCATCAGCGCCAACAAGCAGCAGTGTCTCGCCGACCAGAAACTCAACGTCCTCGTCCTCGCCGTCCGATCTCCTAAAACGCCAGCACCGCCGCCGCCTCCTCCGCCGTCTTCCCCTGCCCCTGCTCTGCCTCCGACCGCATCTCCACCGCCAAGCCCAGCTGCTGGCTCTTCTCCTCCTCCTGCTTCGCCAGCTTCATCGCCTTTCCAAGGGATTTCTCCCGCCGGCGCTCCGGCTGATTCCGGGAACTCGCCGCCTGCGGGACAGCCGGCGGTGTCGCCCGACACCGCTGACCAGACTTCGCCGGCGGCCAAGAGTTCTTCTTCTTCGTCGGCGGAGGCCGCGGTCGCGTCGCTGGCTTTGGTGGCTGTTGGATTGAGATTCATATCGCTCTTCATGTGATCATATCATCTTCCTATATATTGAGTTAACGTTAGATTAGTGATTGTGTTTTTCTTCTTCTTCTTCTTCTTCTTCTTCTCACTTTTCGCTTCTTCCTTAACTGTCATCGGGTGTTTGATTTGGATTTGATTATTGATGGGGTTTGTATGGATTTGTTGAACTTGTTCATCAATGGTGTGACATATTTCATTTTATCATTTACATTATCGTTTTTGGTTATCTTACCATTTTAAAAAAATTCTGCTTTTAATGTATTTGGTACCGTATTTTTGCACTATTAACTTCGTACTAGCTGAGAAATACGTAGATAAGACATAAGCGTTACATAATCAATGGTCAAATATAGTTGTCATCGTTAGACCAACTATTAACTGTCAACTGAACTTTGAAATGTTATTGTAATTAATTATTTTTGGTAGGAAACGGTAGGGGTGGGCACGTGGGTGGTTTATCCGCGGATTGATATCGATCCACCCGCAAATAACCCGATCCACATACAGTGGGTGATTGATGCGGGTGGATTGCGGATTGTTAAATCTCCCACCCACACTCATGTGGGTGGATGGTGGGTGGATTGCGGGTCACTCATATGACCCGCGTCCTATATTAACATGAAAAAATGTTGTTTCTTATATAATCGAATATTCATTATATTTTTTAATTGCACTATAGTCTGACCATATATTTCAAAATGTGGAGAATATAGAATAGTTTTGACTACTATTATTGTTTATTGTGTTGTGATATATCCATTGGATATTGGTATGCAAATTATTGTTAATATCCATTAAATATTGGATTCAAACTATAAATTATTAATTGTATCAAAATCACAAAATATTGATACAATCTTACTAATTTGCTCTGAACTTATTATAAATGTTAGTCAATTTTCTTAATGGCTAGTTGGAGAATTGCTTTTGCGGGTCAACCCGCGACCAACCGCACCCATCCGCCACTCACCCAACCCAACCCGCATAAGTATGTGGGTGGATTGCGGGTCACATGTATTCCAACTCGCTAATAAGCGGGTGGGTCAATTTTATACCAAAATCCACCCAACCCGCCCATTGTCCACCCCTAGGAAACGGCGCACAAAAGCACATATATTATTGTAATTATTGATGCTATGTTATATAAATAACATTGTCGAAAAAATTAGTATTTTTATTAGTGATATTAGCACATTAATAAAACCAACTGCTGGACCAGACACGGCCTAGAGCCCAGTATACTTCACTTGCAAGTATCGGGCCCGTACCATAACAACGCAGGCCGGGCCCAGTTCTTATGTATACTTCCGAGTTCGGATCTTATGGACTCTGATTGCGCAGTCCGATGTTCGATTCGAGGAGTTCGCCATTCACCGTCCCCCCCGCTGCCTAGTACTACTCCTCTGTTCTCCGATCCTCGTTCCGGCGCATCGTCCCCCCGCGTTCTCCAGCGGCCGATAAGCGGCTTTCAATCTCTGGTTACGCTTTATTTCTTCACCACAGACCGTGAATTGCTTCTATGCAAAAACGCAAACTTTGTCGAAGAACCCAAGATCCCGGCTTCGCTTCCGCTACCACGACTCTGACATTTCCAGTGGTGGGTTATATCTCAATCAGTTCATCTGATCAAGATTGAATTTTTGGTTTCGGGCGTGGGTTCTGTTTATCTCAAATTGTTGCATTCCGTTTCACGCAGAAGAACTCTAATGCATTTAGGGATATACAGGGTAGTGAACGTAGAAGAGCAAGTGGCAGAAAAGGCCAAGTCTTTCCCATGAACAACTGGAATGAATCTTCTTCCTAGAGTGCTGTCTCGTAAGCTTTGTTCATGCTGCTCGCCCTATTCAACATCTTCTTTCTCATGGATATCTCCCTTGCAAGATGCTGATTCCATCAAAGACCCACCACCCAAAACTCATAGAAGACACAGGAGTAGAAGTAAATTCATATCTCATGACTCGGCAGTGACCTTAATCCAAGCCGAGAGAGATCCTCAGCTTGCACTGGAACTATTCAACAGGGTAGGTGACCAAGATGGGTTCAATCACAATCATGCTACCTATTCTACTGTACTGCACAAGCTCGCCCGGTGCAGGAAGTTCGATGCTGTCGATGCAGTCCTCCGCCAGATGACCTACGAGACCTGCGAGTTTCACGAGACCGTGTTCCTCGATCTGATGAGCCATTTCTCCAAGTCCATGATGCACGATCGAGTGGTGGAGATGTTCTACGCGATTCAGAAGATTACTCGTGCTAAGCCCTCGCTCAAAGCTGTGAGCACCTGCCTTAATCTCTTGATCGAATCACAGCACGTTGGTCTGGCCAGGAGTTTCCTTGTGAGTGTTAAGAAGCATCTCGATTTGAGGCCGAATACTTGCATTTTCAACATCTTGGTTAAGCATCACTGCAAGGTTGGTGATCTTGAATCTGCCCGTGAAGTGATGAAGGAGATGAAAAGATCGGAGCTTTCTTATCCCAACTTAGTCACCTACTCCACTCTCATGGATGGCCTTTGTCGGCATGGCAGACTCAAAGAAGCAACTGATCTGTTCGAGGAGATGGTGTCGGAGCATCAGATCGTACCCGATGCTCTAACATACAACGTGTTAATTAACGGATTTGTTCAATCTGGAAGAGTCGATCGAGCCAGGAAAATAATCGAGTTCATGAAGAGGAATGGATGCACTCCAAACCTGTTCAACTACTCGACTTTAATGAATGGGTTCTGCAAGGAAGGTAAAGTGACTGAAGCCAAAGAGGCTTTTCAGGAAATGAAGACTGTAGGGTTAAGACCCGACAGAGTTGGCTATACGACATTGATTAATTGCTTATGCAGAAGCGGAAGACCCGACGAAGCCCTGTTGTTGCTTCAAGAGATGAAGGAAACACAGTGTAGACCCGATGTTGTGACATATAATGTATTACTGAGAGGGTTCTGCGAAGAAGGAAGGTTCGGTGATGCTCTAGGGATGTTGAAGCAGCCAGCCTGTGAAGGAGTTTACTTGAACAAAGGGAGTTACAGGATTGTTTTGAACTGCTTGTTGAAGAGAGGTGAATTGGAGAAAGCTGCTGTATTCTTGGGTGTGATGCTTGATAAAGGATATTTGCCACATTATGCGACTTCAAACGAGTTGTTGGTGAAATTATGCGAGGAAGACAGGGTTTACGATGCAGAGATGGCGTTGTTAAGGTTGGCAGAAGCTGGTTTCAAACCTGGAACCGAGTCTTGGGGTTGTTTGGTTGAGTTAGTCTGTAGAGAGAGAAAGTTGCTTGCTGCATTTGAGCTGCTTGATTCGCTGGCAGAAGGGTAAGCCCTTATTCTTCATTCTTTATCAGAGATTAAGAAGATTAATTTATTAAGACCTTTTGCAGAGATTAATTAAACTCCTATTGCATTATAGGATTAGTGGTCTCCATCTCTTAAATCATCCTCTTATTATAACATGGCAACCACCACCAATTATTCAATTGGCATGGATTGGCTTAGCTGCATAAGTGTCTGCTCTTCACGTCTCACATGACATGGTTGCTGCCTATAAAAGAGCCTTTCCTGGCGGCTATAATGATCACACCAAATCCTTCAAAATTCCCATTGTATATTTCTCTTTCTATCCCTTGAGCTTCTCCTTACTTTCCTAATGGCTGCAACCCATCTCTCGAAATGTTCATTTGTCCTAGCCTTAGCCCTGTTCTTGGCAGCCATTGCCTCGGCGGAATACTACAACCCCACTGCTATTAATTCAGAGGAAGCTGGTGCTGTAGTTAAGCCTCAAGACAAACCAGATTACCACAATGGATATGTTTCCACGCCGGCGATGGAGAAGCTGAAGTCGAGGATGCACCAGTACAAGCATGGCTGGAAGCAAGAGGATGCTGACAGCCACCGACCCGAATCAGGAAATGGGTATGGTTCGAAATCAGAGAAGCCATTGGTGCCGGAAGCAGTGAAGCCAAAGGTTAGCTCCGAGAAGAGGGCGTCGAACTATGGGGCAAAACCGGAAGATTGGTTCCCGATCGGCATTGAAGGAGTTGTTGCGTGCAAATCAGGATCTGACTACCGTCCCCTTCAAGGTACTTGAACTACAAGTAACCAGTTAACAATCCGCAGACAATGTGGTGCTTTCTTTAGTTCTGTTCATCCTAATATCATTACTGCGTTTGATTCGCAGGCGCTGTGGTGAGAATAACTTGCTCGGGCGAGGAGGAAGAGCACAAGGTGTCGTGCTCGACCGACGAGAAGGGATATTTCTACAAGACGATGCCGGCTTATGGTGGCAAACCAGAGCTGTGCAAGGCATTCCTGGAGAAATCGGGGTCTGAGAAGTGCAGTGAGCCTACAGATGTGAACAAGGGCATCAATGGCGCCGCCCTCTCTTCGTACAAAATTCTCCATGGCAAGCGCATCAAGCTCTACCCTGTCGGCCCTTTCTTCTACTCCATGAAGACGACGACGGCGACGACTCATGATGCTGATGATCACCCTGCTACTGCTATATCCACTGCCAAACCTTACTCCAAATCTCCAGCAGGCTACTGATTGGACCCCAGATTTTTCATTCTGCCATTTTCACTAATGTACTTATCTATCTCTTTAGCTTTGTTTTATTGCATTTCATTGGTTCACCATTGATTCAAAGAATCATTCCTTTGTTTGTTACTCCAAAATCCCAAATTTGTATGACTGCTTCCCTACGAGAATATCTTATAAAATCAGTATGATTGTTGTTGTCTTAAATTTTGTTTACTATGTGACACGACACACGAGTATAGATCATATCGAGGTATTGGCAATCCGCCTCGATTCATTTTTTATTTGTTTTGTTTTCTAAAGAACCATTGGAATCGAATCGAAAATTTATCTTAAAAAATATATTAAAGGGGTTTTAGAAAACGATTTCCCCACGTCATTTTTTTTAGTTTCACACGTGATTCTCAACATTTATAACAACAAAACACGGTAACTGGTCCGTTAATACAATATTGGTCCAGTCTTTAATATTAAGATATCTCATACTATTGAAGAGCATAAATCTCATGAGTTTAGTCCACACCAAACAGATCGTTGCACACCACTAGCTCTAAATTCTAATGCAGTCATGGTTCTAATAGTAGAATGTTTTCACACGTGGAAGATAAACATTGGCGGATCAGACACATCCATAATATATAAAATAATGCATTTTAATTAAATTGGTTCTATTTCAATTAATTAATGACGCACTAATGCCGTGAGCTAGCTTAGTTGGACCAATAGTTGATTGTGCTCCAGGGAGTAGTTTACTTTCTTGCAAGATACGATTCTCCATATCAAGGAAAAAGTATCACATGAATCATGATTCCTAATGTGGCATTAGTAATATTGTATATGCATTTGCGGATCCTGAAATTTTATCAAGGGTGCTCAATTGCAATCTAAATATCTAAGGACCGTCAAAATCAAACATGAAATATGATCGAATTCAAATAATACCACCACGAAAAATAAAATTTTACACAATTTCTTTTGGGTACAAAATTTTGATCTCAAGGTTTGTTGATTGACAACCTAATTCTGCACTCGGGTCCACCCCTGGCCCAGTGCATCCTCGAACAACTCAAGTTATTGCGATAAATTTTTTCTCGATATAATATGGTATCAAATCTTTGACCGATTAAAGATCCCGTATATAGTTTGATTTGAACATTAAAATACGATGGATCAATCACATACACAAACTGTCGCTTTTTTTTCTTCTTTCTTCACAACTCAAGTTATTTTAAAGTGATTGATTTGAAAATATTAGAGTAATTAATTAAAGTATTAAACCACGAGTCTCCACATATTATACCTTCTTTTAGAGAGATTAGTCGGGTCCCTAAGCAATTGATTTCTGGGACGAAAAAGGACAATTAGTCTTTCCATCACCGGACAGTGTAACAAATGCACCCCATCCCACGTGAACCATGTTTAGGTACTATTTCCCAATCTAGTCCCTAAATTTGAAGGTTTTTCCAACAAAGCCCATTTTGGTCAATAATTTAGGACATTGAAAAATTCAGAATGAAAAATATGGACTTCTTTCGTTCTCCTTATTGCCACCTGTCACGATTGTTTCTCAGCGGAGCGGAAAATAGGAGCATTCGACAAAGCAAGAAAACAAAATACAAGAACGTACACGACACAACGATTTACGTGGTCCACTATAATACAATGTGTGTTAGCTAGTCCACAGGCAGGAGAGAGACAGTTTTATTATACTTCGAGAGAGTCCGTGACATCCAGTCGTAGCACCAGATAGTCCAATTCAAGTCACATCAAGACCATCGATTATGGAAAAAAATTAAACCCAGAACCTCACTATGCAATTCAAACATAGGAATGGCAATGGGGCAGGTCCGGGGTGGGTATCTCAATACCCATACCCACCCCATGGTAGGTCGGGTTCAGGTCGGGTAATTTATCACGGGTTGGGCCAGGTCGACCCAATGGGTATGTAATCTATATGGAAAGTATTAGAAATATTCGTTATTTTTATTATAAGACCAAGAAACAAATCATAATATGATAAAATGTAGTTAAGTTACTTGAGAAATTGAGGTTTCCACTAATTCAAAACTTTATAATAGCTAAAATATGTGTAATAAAAGGAAAAGTGTAAGTAATTTGACTAAGATTACATGTAATATAGCAAGAACGGATTGAGAATTGGGTGGGTCAGGTAGGAATGGCAATGGGGCAGGTCCGGGGCGGGTATCTCGATACCCATTCCCGCCCCGTGGTAGGTCGGGTACGGGTCGGGTAATTTATCATGGGGCGCGGGTCGGGGCAGGTCGACCCATTGGGTATATAAGTTATGCGAAAACATTAGAACTATCCGTTATTTTACTTAAAAGACCAAGAAAGAAACCATAATTTGATAAAATGTAGTTAAATTATTGGAGAAATTGAGTTTTTCACTTATTTACAACTTTATTATACATAAAATATGATGTAATAAGAGGAAAATCCTAAGTAATTTGACTAAGAATGAGGCAGGTCGGGTCGATGAGAGGTACCCATTCCCGCTCCGCCCCGCCTACGAGGTCAAACAGGTCGGGTAACTCAGGTCAGGTCGAAATTGCCATCCCTAGGGTCAGGGTAGGTCGGGTCGACGAGAATACCCATGCTCGCCACGCCCCGCCCCAAAATAGGTCGAGCAAATCGGGTCAAGTCGAAATTATATTATCCATATTCAAACATGACCATTGGGAAGGTAACAAATGAAGAGGGAGAAGTGAGGATGGTAGCGATTGTGAGGAAAGACGACAATGACAGTACGAGGAGAGACGTGAATCGCCGACAAAGAAAGCAACTTCAGTGAAAAAAGACCAGCAGTGTTGGAAGGAGAGATCTAATTATGTCAAGTAGAAAACAAACTTATATCACTCTATAAGAAAAAAAATTGAGGTACTATATCCTAACTTATAGAGGAATGTAGGTATATAAATGGAGGTATCTAATTAGTAATTTAATAATTAAACGAGATTAGAATATATATATATATATATATGATATTCTATCTTCTATCCCCATTCTAAATGCAAACACTTCTATATCCTCTTCAAGCCACAAAAACGGGAATGGCGGTTTCCGATATGCTGATGATCAACTTGATAACTGTTTACGTTATGGTAATTATATTAACCGCCGGCATCAGTTCATCATCCTCCGACACCACTCCGACGCCGGCGGCAGCCGGCGGCCGGTGCTTCACCTCCATTTTCAGCTTCGGCGACTCCATCACCGACACCGGGAACCACTGCCACATTCTGTCCAAGGCCGGGAGGTCGGCCAACAACTGCCTTCTTCCCTACGGAGAGACCTTTTTCCACCGCCCCACCGGCCGGAGCTCCGACGGCCGTCTCATCATTGATTTTATCGGTACACACTATAGTGATCTACTGATCTACATATAAGTTCCAAAAAATTTACTGTTCATTAATCGTACCGATGCATGCATGCGGGTAATATTTATTCTCCCGATTTTTCCATTTTGATTGAGATGTAATAATTAAGTTTAATATTCAATTAACCCCAAAAAAAGATTCATCTTGTAGGGAGTAGGGTTCTAAGGAAAAACAGGAAAATAAATTACTAGAGCAAGTCAATACGACTAAGGTTGTTTTAGATGGCAACCCGTCGAGTCGGGCGGATATTGTATATCTACTATCCTATCTAAAACAGGTTCGGGTGTACTAGATATTTGATTGGGTTTAGAGTATTACACAATTTCCATGAATAATAATTTCTCTTTATAACTTCAACAACTATGTTAACAATTACTTGTATACTGATGTTATGTAGGTGAATTTTTTTAAATTACTAGAACGGAGATAATTAGTTGAAAACAACAAGATTTCATGGAAATATTACATATGTAAATATCAAATATGTTGAGAAAAATAGTAATTTTTTTAAAAAATATGCATGTGTATAACTGGTCGTATTCGTGTTGGATAGTAAAAATATCATACCCACTAATCAGCCACAATATTCGAATTCAGATTTTACTCAAAACTCATTAAACATCCTTCGAGTTCGAGTTTTTACCCTACCCCATTAGATCAAATGCGGGGAATACCAGCTGGTATGGTTGCCTGGTTCATTCGATAAGCACACAGTAGTATGAGAATACATGAATTTCCTAGAATCAGTGTATTTAAAAAAATAAGATTGTGAGAATTCATGATTTGGTCTAGCTCCCAAATTTTGTCGGTTTCTTGCATCTCCATTTCTCTCATTGACATCTTGCTTTCCTTCTGGTCCTTGATACAGCTGAGCATTTGGGGATCCCATTGGTACAGCCATATTTTGGAGGAGGGAGCACGGTGGATTTCGACGGCGGAGTGAACTTCGCGGTGGGAACCGCCACCGCGCTGGACAGTGATTTCTTAGAGAGAAGAGCAGGAGTTAAGGTAACCGGCACAAACGTTTCTTTGAATGTTCAGTTGGATCACTTCAGGCGACTGATTCCGTCGCTATGCCGCCGTGGCACCGATGATGAGCTCTCAGGCAAGTCTCTCCACTACCACTATGATCTTTGTTGGTGATTTGGGCCCTAAGTACGAAAGCGTTGTAAATTGTTATTTCATTGATCATACAATATAAATAGCTATTTTTCTTTCAATGTTTAGCTAATAATACTTATATATAAATTAGGCATTAGACGAGTACCAACGCTCGTCTTACGTCTAATGATATATAATAAATTAATAATATGGATGAGGTGCTTGTATCAATGATAAACAAAGGAAGAGAGACAAGAGATGCACTTTGTCTCCCATAAAAATGGAGAGTTTATCATAATTAAGGCATATTCTGAATTATGGGTATTCAAAAGGGGCCGACTAAAACCTAACAATTTATGAAATATGGCCTACACACATTGAAATTCAATAATCAACATTGCTGAAGAATAAAATATGTTATCTCCAAAAAAAAAAAAAATATCATCCAAAAGTTAAAGACAAAATCAATGTCTAGTGTGTCATCCTATTTGTTTATTTAATTTTTTTTTTCCAACAAAGTTCCAATGATAAGGTTGTGCATATAATGGTGTTGTTTGGAATTTTTTTTTAATAAAGCACGACACATATATTACATTATTTTTAAAATAATTATATTTTATTGGTTTGTTACAAAAAACTGAACCGAATCAACTGGTGGACAAGTCTAGTAGAAATGCTATACCGGTTACAATAGCGCGGTTCGTTCATTTGCTTGGATGGCTCGGAATCGACCGAACAGATGGAAATGAAACCAGGTGAAACCACCCCCATTTGACTGGTTCTTTTGGTTCACTGTTTTAACAACACAAGAAATTAAGAGAAGAAAAAAAAAATACTTTAACGTAAACTAAGACCACCCATTCCAACTCGAATTTCTATTTTTATTTATGCTACTTTTTTTCCTTTTTCCAACCTCTTTGTGGAAATTACGTTGATTTACATTAAGACATAAATTTGTTAAATCTTTTTATGATCGTATTGTTATATGCTTCAGACTGCAATAACCTCTTCAGAAACTCACTGTTCATACTGGGAGAGATTGGAGGAAATGACTACAACTTTGCCCTCTCCGACGGCCATAGCCTGAAACAAGTTCAAGACCTAGTGCCTCTTGTTGTTGGTTCCATAATTTCAGCCCTCAAGGTGATGATAATCATACAAACCCACCTCCAAATAAAACTATATTTCTTTTGGATTGTAATTTGTAAACTAACTAACTAACCAACCTGGGAAAAATTCCGCAGGAAATCATCGAACTCGGCGCAGTCAACATTTTAGTGCCTGGAAATTTTCCAATGGGTTGCTTGCCCTTCTTACTAAACAAATTTCCCAGTACAAATGCAGGAGATTTCGATCCTTCCACCGGTTGCCTTACTTGGGTCAACGAATTTGTTGAGTACCACAACGATCTTCTCCAAACAGAACTCGATCGCATAAGAGAACTTCACCCGGCCGATATGAACATCATCTATGTGGATTATTACAATGCTCTCTTACGCATATATCAAGCACCTAAACAATTCGGTAAGTGGAAGGATCCATATCCTACTCGTCTTTTTGTTTAAAGGTTAATGCGGTATTGTGTTTATTTTTACTATGTCATTAACCACACAATAAAAAAACATCCAAATCCGACATAACTAGGAGGAATCATTCTCAGTAGATTCTTCGATAACTCTCATGACATATATGTTGGAAATGCGAGTTTTTCTAGTATAATTTCAACTCTTGAAGCCTATATACAATGCATCTATAGATTGTTTGAGGTTTAATGTGAGATCAACATTAATTACCGAGCTCAACTTATAGGATCAAAACAGGGATTTCGTACTTACCAATTTCGACCGATAAGAAAGAAGAAGAAAAAAAACGATACTCCTAACTAGCGGAGTAGAAATTGATAAACAACGTAGTACATAACGGACATGAACTTGTTTGTCGAAAACCGTAACTTAAGAACTCATGTGAGTAGTTGATATTGATGAGAGGATTTAATCAAATATTATGCATGAATGATGGTTGTTTTTAATTGCAGGATTTAGTGGGGAACCTCTGGCAGCATGTTGTGAAGGAGAAGGATCTGTGCAATGTGGGAGCCCATCAGTAAGGCCTTGTGAAGATCCTTCAGCATATGTCAACTGGGATGGGATTCACTTCACAGAAGCAACTTACAGAGTAATTGCCAAGTCAATACTGGAAGAAGGTCTCTTCACCAATCCTCAATTTAGTGCCTCCTCCTGTATTGCTGGGAATTCAGGGAAAGCCTTCCCCAATTCCTTCTAAGAACATGATCTTGTTTATAGTACCTTTGCTGGTATCTGTAGCTCTATGGTTCGATCTCTCTCGTACGGTTTCACGATTCATTGCTTCAACTGTAAGTACCATAATTAAAACTACTGAATTGCAAGAGTAGGTTACAAGTAAATTATAGTAACAGAAACAACACAGACAAGCAGGGGAAAGAGCTACATCTTTCTCATTTCCCTTCCCCTCTCACTGTCAAAACCCAGAATCAGGTCTCCATTAGACGGCATCTGCAGCAGCAGGAGAAGCAGAAGCAGGAGTGTACCAGCCATGGTGAACCTCGACAGCCTTCTTAGTCCTGGCGAGCCGCGATTTCCTGCGTGCTCCTGTATTCCTGTGCAGCGTCCCGACTTTCACGGCTTTATCGATCACTGAATAGGTTTCTGCAATTAGTTTCTCCACTGGGAGCACCTCCTCGGGTTGTGCCGCTGGTTTCTTCCTCAAATCATCTAGTGCTTCCAACACCTGCAGCAGCAGCAGGATTAAGAGAGCTAATAAGCAAATGATACATCAAAATGTTTCCTTTGCCCAAGTTGATGAATCCCATGAAAACTCATGTTGATACCAGCTGCTATGCATTTGAACCCTAAAGTAGAAGAAGTGCTTTAAGTGGCATCAGCTGTCTTTTGGATGATGTCACATACTCACATCAATGTCTAATCTTGAGGTCAGCTCAAGTCAGATTTTTACAGAAATTCTAACGAGGATCACCTGAAGACCAAGCACAAAAAATTATTCATGCACGGCCATGAGAAACTGCTTCAACGCAGATCATCTAGACCCTAGTTCATAGCAGTTCCTTAGCTTCCAAAGAATTCTGAAGATGTAAATGCTACAGAACTGCAAGGTACGGCTAGTTCTAGCCTAATCTAAGTGACCACCGACTAGGAAACTAGAAAAAAGGTTGCTTCTAATAAGACACTAACAATAGACTTTATGCCAGCCACTTGCCTTGGAAAGCTGCAAAATATGCTATTAAAATACATAGGCAAGCCAATGTATATGAAGAAACAAGAACGAGAAGCAATACATAGAATAACCAGCATGCACAGAATGAAAAAGAAAAAGAAGCAGAGAAGATGGCATGTGAATTTATCAGCTACCCACAGAGTGCAGCTTGCAGCCAAGAAAAGGAGTAAGCCAAAGGAGCTCAAGCTGCACCTTACTCGACCACACACCACACGGTGAGACCATATGAGGTACTCTGGGAGCAATTCCATCCTAATAGCATCTCTGAAACTCTGAAATTATATAACTGCACAGAACCTGCTTTTGCAAGGAACTGAATATATAAAGCTGCACCTATTCTCTCAGGGGAACTGACCAAGTCACAAGGACCGATGAAAACATCCAACCTACCCATCATTCAAACTTTGAGTCCAATAATCGCAGCATTCACCGCATAATTCCACTGAAGCTATTCTACCAAGCTCAAAAACTGCTTAATCCTTTCTATGATTTAGCCAAACTACTGCACTAACCAGCACATGTACCACTTTCTAATCGAATGCATACCCATCTTTCTACTCCTCCAGTTTAACTCCTTAATTGAGATTTAAACATTGAAATCTAAGACTAAATTCTATTCACCTGCACCTCAAGATCTGAATCCTAATCTACCAAAATCACCCCAACAGATAAGCACCTTGGTAAGATCTCATCCTGAGCAAGCAGGTTGACAAACTTGTAGCTTTCCATAAAACAAGCAAAGTCTCGAGCTTTTCTCATACACAAGAATTATAATGCGCCACAGAGACTATCCAGACCTCAACTTTTGATGCAGCAACAATGCCACACACTTGAAGGACATTCTACAGTTCAAACCCTTAGCTACATTATCCCATTCCACAAGCGCCAAAACAAATTTCTCAAAGTTCCAAACTTTGGAAGCACAAACGGTAGATAACAAGGGAAACAGAACCGGTTACCTACCTTCCTCATTCGCGTTCTAACTTCAGACTTTTTTGCTTTATTATGAACGCGTCTCTTCTCGGCCTGGCGAGCTCTCTTGACCGCCGAATCGGCCTTCCTGCCTGGCGCAGCCTCACAAACAACTGAAGAACGGCGAACGGACCATTCCACTGGCCTCATCGACAGGCATCCTGAAAACCCACAAACGAAAGCAGCTCAATCAAACCAAAACCCACAACAGAACGACCCAAAGAACTTTCCCAAATCGTCAATTGCGAAGAATGACCACTCGCCTGTGCTGAAGAGACTCGGGTTATGCGAAACGGAAGAGGAGAAACTGATGGAGCTCGATTGAGATGGAGAAGAAGAAGTGGCGGTTAGAGAGAGATTGTTGAGCCTGGAAGTAAGGACGGAGCAGCAAGATAGAACTGCAGCTGCCATGGCAGTAGCTCACAGGGTCTGTTGTGCTCTAATGGTGTAGCGGGTTGAATTCGGGGTAGAGGAGCTGTTTCCACAATCTTTTTGTTACTTATCCACTGGCGCGGCGAAGATAGAGCCAGCACAGCATCCATTCCCGCCGTTAACGTTATCAACGGAGTTACATATATCTACATACATCTTCTATCTCATTAATTAATTAATTTATTCAATCACTGGGCTTATAATTCAGCATCATAGCAAAGCAAGCAACCTTGGCCACTTGGCAGGAGGGTCGCTGTCCACTCTGGCCACGGTACAGAGCCTTGTCGCCATTAACAAGCATTGGATTTTCCTTCACATGTTACATTATTTGAATCGTATTCTCTACGGTAACTTGCATTTAAACGTGTATCTGGCAAAGGAAGAGAGGCCATAAAACCGCCAATTGCAAAAAAAGTCCCATCTTCATTTACTTCACACATCACTTTCCCATTTCCCTCCGAAGGGCATGGAGGCTCCAGCAAACATCACCATTAAAGGGATACTGAGCTTGTTGATGCAGAGCATTGATGACGACGGCACAAAGAGGAACAAGGAGAAGAGTGTGATTTCGCTTGGAATGGGTGACCCTTCTGCTTACTCTTGCTTCCAGGTTCCTCCTGTTGCTTCTCAAGCTGTGGCGGAAGCTCTTCATTCTCACAAGTTCAATGGCTACTCCCCAACTGTCGGACTCCCCCAGACTCAAAGGTAGGTAACATCCTTCAAATGGGTCTTTGAATTCAGACAGGCTTGGCTTGTTGGTCTTAACCAATATCACTTTCATAATCTTCTCCACAGAGCGATCGCAAAGTACTTATCTGGTGATCTTCCTTACGATCTATCTTCGGATGATGTGTTTGTAACGTCCGGATGCACGCAAGCCATTGACGTTGCACTAGCGATGCTGGCTCGCCCTGGTTCGAACATACTGCTTCCCAGACCAGGCTTCCCTATCTATGAACTCTGTGCAGCTTTCAGGGGGATCGAAGTTCGACATTTTGATCTCTTGCCACAGAACGGATGGAAGGTTGATCTAGCTGGAGTCGAAGCCCTTGCTGATCACGATACAGTGGCAATGGTGGTGATCAACCCTGGGAACCCTTGTGGGAATGTCTACTCCTATCGACATCTGAAAGAGGTAGAGAAAAGGGAAACACAGTAGGAACATTCATTAGGGAAAATGATCAATCAACCTGCTCTCATTTGTGATGTTTGCCAACTACTATAGATTGCTGAAACTGCTGAGAGGCTGAGGATTCTCATCATTGCTGATGAAGTGTATGGGCATCTTGCCTTCGGGTGTAACCCTTTCATCCCCATGGGAGTTTTTGGATCAACTGTGCCTGTCCTCACACTTGGCTCTCTTTCAAAGAGGTGGATAGTGCCAGGTTGGCGACTTGGTTGGTTCGTCACTTGTGATCCCTCTGTCTCTTTCAGAAAACCAAAGGTTGGTTACCTGGCTCCCTAGCTTCTTTACTCCCTCCTTTTCTGTGTCCAAAATCACTTTGCTCTGGATCAATGGGTGTTTCTAATGTTCTCAGTCGGTGGAGCGTATCAAGAAGTACTTCGACATATTGGGAGGACCTTCCACATTCATCCAAGTATGCCTATTTTTCTCTTAACCATGCTTGAATCTATTAACTCAGCATGATGGTTTTGTGCAGAAGCTAATTTCAACACAGACCTTCTAAGACTATCACTGCTGGATCTAGTATCATGACAACATATGTTCTCTTTACATATGATGTAGGCAGCCGTTCCTCGTATTCTAGAGGAAACTGGAGAGGTTTTCTTTAAGAAAACAATCAAGGTGTTGAAGCAAACTTCAGATATTTGCTTCGATAGGATGAAGGAGATTTCGTGCATCACATGCCCTCACAAGCCGGAAGGATCCATGGCTGTAATGGTAAGTTGGAAACGTTGAAGCTGAATGAAGGAACAAGGTTTGCTTGCATCATGATTGATAAGAAGTAACTTGCTATTTCTTTTTGCCAGATGAAATTGAATCTCTCGCTGCTGGAAGACATCAGCGACGACATAGATTTCTGCTTCAAGCTGGCTAAGGAGGAATCTGTTATCATTCTTCCAGGTGAGAAGCTCCACAAAGTTTGTTTACTTGTCCTCCTCTCTTCTCATGCAAGGAACTGAAACCAAAGAATCTGGTCTGTGAAAACATTGTAGGAACTGCAGTGGGATTAAGGAACTGGCTTCGGATAACGTTTGCTGTTGATCCAGAGTTGCTTGAAGAGGGTTTAGCGAGGTTGAAATCATTCTGCAAAAGGCACACCAACCAACAGCTGGGGAGTTAAAGGAAATTAATCATGTTCATCCCCTCTAGCTATTTCAGCAAACCAATAAAATATGCAGGTATAATTGCAAATGCAAATGAATGCCTACAAGATAAGCAAAGTCGGCTAGAATGACAGGCAAGATGAACAGTCTGTGTACAGACCTCCTTGTTACAGAATTGTTAATATAGGAGAAGTTCTTATTTTTTCTCATTTGGTTATAGTATATACCTAAAATTTGAGCATGTAGATCTCAATGAAATGAAGTTGCGAGTTCTTATGTTAAAGATTCCAACGCTTACCGTGGTACTTATAGTTTGAGTGACAACCGTGAAATAAAATAATTCTTGTAACATCCTTACTCAAATGCTAGCCAATTGAGATTTCGAGTGGAGAATCCACTGAAAACAACGGATACAAAACAAGACACCACGGCCGGCCGCCTAAAAAACTTTACACTGTCAGCATTCTGTCTCTTCTGCCCATTGCCCATCAGAACCTCAGCAAAACTCCAAAAAATGCAGAGCCAAAAGCCAAAGTGGATTCCACATCCACATCCCCAAAAACGTCAAATGCCATCAGTCTAACCCCACTGAAAATCGCACCAGAGTCATATCATCCTCCTATTAAATCCCAGCGTGTAGTTGGTCTTTTCAGTTCACCATCCCCTCAATCCTTTCGCCATGGAACATCAGAACCCAGGCAACTACTCTTTTTCATAAAGCCTCTCTCATTTTTCTGTTCAGAATTGTGAGTTTCTTCTGCTTGACATCTACTCTGGTCGGTCTTCTGAGTTTTTTTGCAGAGACTGTTGCTGCTGCTGTCAAGGTCCAGAAAGGAGACGACTTTGAGGTTCATGTGTTCTCATCCTCGGAGGTGTGTGAAAAAGCTTGGAAGATTTTGACCTTACAAATAGACATAAAAGCAATGGTCTTTATGATCTTGAATGACTTGTTATTGTTGTGTTTTTGGTCCAATGTGATTCAGTTGATCGAGAAGCTGAATGAGAAATGGAGGGCAGTGAAGAGGAAACCATACCCAGCAATGTACTCGAGCGTCTATGGTGGGATCATTCTCGATCCGACGTTGATGGTGATCCCGATTGATGACCACATGGTACATCGCGGACATGGTGTTTTCGACACAGCCATCATTCTCGACGGGTAATCTGCTCATTAGTTCAGTGACCTTTTGAAGCATTTAGCCCCGCGGCATGAATCTAATTCTGCAGCTCTCGTGTTTTAGATACCTCTATGAGCTAGACGTACACATAGAGAGGATCCTAACATCGGCATCGAAGGCAAGGATATCATCTCCATTCACCAAGGATAAGCTGCATACCATCCTGCTCCAGTTGGCAGCAGCATCAAACTGCAAGAAAGGCACACTGAGATACTGGCTGAGCGCAGGCCCAGGCAACTTCCTGCTGTCACCCTCTGGTTGTCCGACTTCAGCATTCTATGCAGTAGTGATCGACGAGGAGTTCTCTCAGCAGAAGGAAGGTGTGAAGGTGATCACATCTAACATCCCCATGAAGCCACCTCTTTTTGCAACTGCGAAGAATGTGAACTATCTCCCCAATGTGCTATCGATCATGGAAGCTGAGGACAGAGGAGCCTTTGCCTCGATTTGGGTGGATGAGGAAGGGTACGTGGCTGAGGGTCCCAATGTGAACGTTGCGTTCATTACTCAGGAGAAAGAGCTGATCCTGCCTCCATTTGACAACATACTCCGCGGGTGCACTGCTCTGAGGCTGCTTCAGCTGGCTCCCAAGCTGGTGGAGCAGGGGAAGCTGAAAGGGGTGAAGACAAGTAAACTCACAGTTGGAGAGGCCAAAGGTGCTCTTGAGATGATGTTCGTGGGGAGCACGCTACCTTTGTTGCCAATCGTGATGTGGGATGATCAGCTCATTGGAGATGGTAATGGGAAATTGGCTTCAGTTTTAGAGGTGTATATACTTTTGCTTGAGATAAGAGGCTAATGGGTGTTTTTGTTTGAAATGCAGGGAAGGTGGGAGAGTTGACAATGGCACTTTCTGATGTGATATGGGAGGACATGGTTGCTGGGCCTACTACTCAGAGGATTCCTGTTCCATATGAGCAGTAGTATTGAGTCAAGAGAGAATGGGTTTCCGGAAGTTTCCAAAAGGAATGATGTTTATGGGCTTGAAGTTTGAGTGTCTCCTGAATTGAACATGGTTTTATCGTTGCAATCTGGAATAAAAATCTCAAAGCTGTGTGCTTTCTAGTTTCTGGAGTAATTTTGTTGGAGAATTTGAATGAGAAAGTCATTCCAAGACATCATTCCGGTCTCATAACTTACTTACACTATTCACCATCTTCCGGGTTTTCATCAATCTGACTACTCTGATCACTATCAGAAGTTGAGTTGAGTGTATCTGAGAGCTCTTCTCCTTCACCAGCTTGAGCTTCTTCCCCTTCCATGAAAGAGTTCATCGTGAGCTGGGCAGAGTAGAGGACTAAACCGACAGAGTTGAGGCCGAAAACGAACGTGGCAAGGTAGCACAACCCATTGATGATGGTCCTGCAAAAGTTTACAGGCAATAATGAGTGATGTTCCACATTTTCAACGTCTTAATAGTGCCTTGTATTATACTTTGCTGGAGTTACCGGATAGTAATCGTTATTTGGCGAACCTGAGAGAAGTAGGAAAAACCCAGATTTAAGTGAGAACTTAACAAATCATTCAAAGCAGACACAACACTAGCAATTCTTTTTATTAATGAATTTGAAACCGACGAGGAAGGGAAACCGTGGACTAACCGAGAAGTTGTCTGATATGGTCTGCCGGTTCAGAGATGCCTCAATGGTTGTAGTGAACTTGTAGAGAATCAAAGCAATCACACCTGCAGATATGCCACCTAGAAGTGCCTGCACTGGTGAAGTAGGCTTCTTACCTTCTTCAACAGGGCCCGCGGCTCCAATGGCCTTCAAGCTTTCCAATGCCTCATCTTTAAGCGACTTCTTAGTAGCTCCTGATGATCTGAACCTCTAAAGAACATGTTCCACAAGTCACAAATCGTCTGATAAAATATCAGGCTACCCTGATTAACAAAATGATATAGTGTGCCACAAAACATAACTGCAATTCGACATACACATGGAGAAACTTAACTTAGAAAGCAAAATGGGAGACACATAACACAACCCATAAATCCCCCCAATCCAAAAATGAAGGCTTTTTCCAACCAGAACAGAAATTCACAAAATCCTTATCCAATTCAAGGGTATGGCAGGCGAATGCCAGCGAGAAATAGAAAACGTAGAAAAGGGGGCAAAAGGAGCTGGCAGTTATACCAGTTCCTTGGCACGCTTAACACGGCGTCGGATGGAGCGAACAAGGAATATGAAGACAGCTCCGGTGAGCAGCACGCTAGTTGCTATCTGCAGCGGCGAAGGGTCATCGGTGGTGGCGAAGATGGAAGGCGCAGAAGGGAAAGGTAGCTCAATTGGGCCACCGCCGTCTTCCGGCACGGGGACGGGTACTGTAATTGTGGTGGGTTCCGATATATCCGCCAGCCATGGCTCCAATAAAGACAGCGGAAGGGCTGACAGAGAGGAGAAAACGGCCTCCGTGGTGGGTTTTCCGAGACAGCAGCAGGGAAAAGAAGAAGAAGCTCTCCGATTGCGATGGCGATAGCGAGGTGAATGGAAGAATTGAGGAGAGAGAATAATTGGGGAGTAATTGTAGTTCTGCAACAACAACATCTGAAAATCAAGGAAGAAGACGGCAATGGGGAAGAAGGAAATTGGAGGAAATGAAGGAGTGGAGACTAGCGCGCGGTGGCGGGATTGCGGGGAGGGAATATCTGAAGAGATAACTGGGCTAGCCCATTCAGGTGTCTTTTTTTCTCAAAATGGGCTGAATGACGTCTCGGCCCAATGAATGAGCCCAGACACATCTTGTAACGGTACCCGATACCCGACCCGCTAGAGTCATTCCCCCCATTGGTTGGAGCTCCGAGGACAGAGCGTTGGCGTTCTTCTTCTTCTTCTTCTTCTTCTTCTTCAGTCTTCACCACTGGACACTGCGCTCTTCATACCTTCCGGCTTCCCGTCGCCTTGCATCGTTCTTCTGCGTCCACGGCGATGAATTTCCGGTGAGTCTACAACTTTCTTCCTTTTCCCTCCGGCTTTTCAATTGAATGGAGGCGCAAGGTCGTCGGTCATTTATCGGAGGCGCATGGGCATGATTCCTTAACGACATCGCGAAGGTGGATTTTCTGCTGTGTTATTGTTAAGTATGGAATTGAAATCAGCGCTTCCTGGTTCGGCAGCTTCTCCTTCGCCCAGGACGAAGAAGAAGCGGAAGAGACTGGATGCGATCTGCGAGAAGGTTTATACTCGGAACCACAAGGAGCCGGTTAGTGCAGCAAGGGAAGGGGCGGCATCGACGTCCCAGACCTTGCCCTCTACTGATTTGGAGCTAAGGAGGAGCTCAAGGGTTCGTCGTGCTCCGGTTTTGCTCGATGTCTCGCCTCCACCGGTGAAGAAGAGGAAGAAATTCGGTAAGGATGTGAAATCCAGTGGAAAGAAGAATGTTTCGGTTGGTTCGTCTGGGGATGAGTTGAAGGAAGAGGATGAGGGTGGAAACCTGGAAACGCTAGGAAGTTGGAAATCACGGTTGAGGGCTAGAAAGAGGAGTGGAAGAAATGGGAGGAGAAAGTTGTTTGCTGACTTGGGCGATAGTCTGTCTAAGAAAGTGGGGTCTGATGATGAGGAACTCCTGGTGGGAGCAAAGGCAAAGAGGTTGGGGAAGGTTAAGGCAGTCAGTGGGCTGATTAAGGAGCTGAAAGAAGTCGAAGTGCTTTCTGATGATGATGATGATGATGCAGCGTCGGAAAAGGAGGCTGACAGTGGAAAGGATGAAAAGGAAGTGGCTGATGATGAAACTGATACCACTAGTCATGAAGATTCCCCAGCTTCAGAAGGGGAGACTAGCGTCCGAAATGAGGGGGAGAATGGTGATCCTGTTTCCGATGAAGGGATGCATGAAGAAGAGGAGAACTCTAGATTGGATGGCTTAAAGTTGGAGAAAAGTTTTGATGGAGCTGATACTGTGGATAGTGATGAGGTGAGTGGGTTTAAGGAGAAAGGATTAGAGATTGACAACGATGGGGAGAATGAAGGGGATAATGATGTTAAACATGAAAGGGAAAATGAGGAAGAAGATGAGGAGGGGAAATCTGAAAGGGAAAATGCAGAGTCTGATGAAAGGGCTAGTGAAGAGAACGCCAGTGGAGGAAAGGAAATGGAAGAAAATAAGGTGGATGAGGAAGACCATAGTGATGACCTAGAAGCTGATTTCACAGTTGAAATGCCCTTGGAGGATGGGAAAGATGCAACGGAGAGAAAGATGAAGGATGATTCTGTTGATATCCACTGCTCACCTGGGGTTAAGCAGGGGAGGCTATGTGGGTTGTGTGGCTGTGGCAATGATGGTAAACCACCAAAGAGAGTGATCCAAGAGGGAGGTGAGAGTGAAATAGAGGCTTATTGCGGTTCATCGGCTTCAGAGGAACCCAATTATGATGTATGGGATGGATTTGCGAATGAACCTGGCTGGCTTGGCCGTCTATTGGGTCCTGTAAATGACCGGTATGGTATTGCTGGAATCTGGGTTCACCAACTCTGTGCGGTGTGGAGTCCAGAGGTTAGATCTTTCTGTTGGTTTTAATCATTTATCTGTACTTGATGGAAAGCATGGTTAGTTCAGATGCTTTTATTCAGCTAGTTTGTCATTTCCTTTCTACCTGGTCCTAGAAGATTGAAATTTAACTGGAGGCAGTTTCTTGCCTGGAATATTTGGGGGCTGGGGTCATTGATTTTCCTTCAAAGTGAATCTAGGTAAAAGACTTATCCAGTTGACATTCATGGATTTGCAATCTTTAGTCAAGCTCTTTGCGAACATCCTTTGCCGTTGCACATATTTCAGTGCAGCGAGAAACTATGCCGTGCAATCTAGTTGGTATGAGCAAACACGATTGTGGCATCATATAACCTCCTTAGATATTTTTTAATTTGTTTTAGACCTTCACATTTGTTTGTTAAAAGGGGGTAGTAGTTGATTTGTTTTCTCTCCATGCATTAAATATCATTGATTCTGTTAGAGATCAATGAAATTCATGCTTGTAAAACCCCACTTTATAAATTCTCTATTTCTCCTCTGTTCTACGGTGGTTGGATTTGCCTGCTAACTTTGGACCTTTTACAATTTTGATCTTCAGAAATCAGAATTTTATTCGGGGTTCAATGTTTTTATATCATCCTTACATAGTAGTCCGGTGAAGGGTTAATATAATAAACCACGTACCTTAGTGCTTGTAGATGTCCGCTTATGGCAATATTTTCTTTTTGGTTTCTTAGCCTATAATTTGAAGGCAGTAGTCTTTTGCTTGAATATGGCCTTCGTGTCCTACTTTGTGATATCTCTTTCAATCATCTGCTTTCAGGTGTATTTTGCCGGTTTGGGTTGCTTAAAAAATGTCAAAGCAGCACTTTTCAGAGGAAAAGCATTAAAATGCACCCGATGTGGAAGGCCAGGGGCCACAATTGGCTGTCGTGTTGATCGCTGCCCGAGAACCTACCACTTGGTTTGTAATCTACTTGTTTTTCGTCTAGCCCTTTTTTCAGTCTTGAGAATTAATCTAGACTGTACCTTGACCTTGACCCTGACCCTCTCTCCATCTTTCGCAGCCTTGTGCCCGTGCTACTGGCTGTATCTTTGACCATAGAAAATTTCTCATCGCATGTACAGATCACCGGCATATTTTCCAACCTCAGGGGAGTCAATATCTAATGAAGATTAAAAAGCTGAAAGCTCGAAAATTGAAATTAGAGGTCAGGAAGTCGTCAAATGATGCATGGAGAAAGGATGTTGAAGCTGAAGAAAAGTGGTTGGAGAACTGTGGCGAGGATGAAGAGTTTTTGAAACGTGAGAGCAAACGGCTTCATCGGGATTTGGCAAGAATTGCACCTGTGTATATCGGAGGCCCAGGAGACTCTGATTCTACCCAACAATTCGAAGGTTGGGAGTCTGTTGCAGGGCTTCAAGCTGTCATCCAGAGTTTAAAGGAAGTAGTCATTTTACCTCTTCTCTACCCTGAGTTCTTTAGTAATCTGGCGATTACACCGCCTAGGGGAGTTCTCTTGCATGGGTATCCTGGAACTGGTAAAACTCTTGTAGTCCGTGCCCTTATTGGTTCATGTGCTCAAGGAAATAAAAAGATAGCTTATTTTGCTCGAAAAGGTGCAGACTGCTTGGGGAAATATGTTGGTGATGCTGAGCGGCAATTGAGACTCTTGTTTCAGGTTGCTGAGAAATGTCAACCTTCTATAATTTTTTTTGATGAGATAGATGGTTTAGCTCCTTGTCGAACAAGGCAGCAAGATCAGACTCACAGCTCAGTGGTATCCACATTGCTAGCTCTCATGGATGGCCTAAAATCAAGAGGCTCGGTGATTGTGATAGGTGCAACAAATCGTCCTGAAGCTGTTGACCCTGCATTGCGCAGACCCGGAAGGTTTGATCGGGAAATTTATTTCCCCCTGCCTTCAGCCAATGATAGGGCTTCCATTCTGTCAGTTCATACTCGAAGATGGCCGAAACCTGTCTCTGATGACTTGCTAAAGTGGATTGCTCACCAAACTGTAGGTTTTGCTGGTGCTGATCTGCAGGCTCTCTGCACCCAAGCTTCCATCATCTCTTTGAAAAGGGCCTTTCCCCTTCAAGAAGTTCTGTCAGCTGCTGCTGCAAAGAGAGGTCCCAATGATGCTAAACGTCTTCCACTTCCATCGTTTACAGTGGAGGAGAGGGACTGGTTGGAGGCTTTATCATGTGCTCCACCTCCATGCTCTCGTAGAGAAGCAGGAATGGCTTCTTATGATTTAGCATCTGCTGCTCTCCCTGCTCATCTGGTTCCTTGTCTGTTGCATCCTTTAACAGTTTTGATTGTGTCCCTCTATCTGGATGAGCGCCTATGGCTCCCTCCTCTTCTTTCAAAGGTTGCTGCAATGATTGAACCTATAATTATTCCTTCCGTAGAGGCGAAAAATCTGGCCCGGAATCAGTGGGGGTCCTGCATTAGTGCTCTCTTTAAAGAAGCCGGCATTGCTAAAGAGATACAGCAGAGGCTTTCTTCTGCTGGCATATTGGCTGGAGAATCAGGTTTCACTGTTGGTGAAATAGAATCGGAAATGGGTAATGGGGGTACTCAAACTAGTTTCTTTCAGTCTGGAAGCATGTCTTTTGGGTCAAGGAAAAAGTCGGGATTTCGGGTGTTGATTGCTGGGGATCCGCGATGTGGCCAAAAACATCTTGCAGCTTGTACTCTTCGCTTTTTTATTGGCAACCTTGAAATTTGGAAAGTTGATCTGGCGACGGTTTCCCAAGAAGGTCAGAGTGATATGGCACAAGGGATAATGCGGATATTAAGTACGGTCTTCTCTATCTCTCTTCCTCTCTCAAGATCTGTGGTAAACTAGGTACCCTGAGTGGATTCTCTGACTCGGATATATGTGTGTCTCTATTCTAGACTTTGCTTTCAAGTTCTGATCAATGGCCTTAGGTTTAATATCGAGAATCTTTCTTAAGCATTGGTGTTAAATTTACTAATTTCGTTCGATTTTTGCTTAGGTTTCTTATTTTCACTTTCTTTTTATGAGCAAGTAAGTTACTGATTATACTAAATTCGCCCTTGCAGCAAAATGTTCTAGCCTAGAGACATGCATGTTATACTTGCCCAGAATTGATCTCTGGGCTATAGGGACATGTCAAG